TTTAAAGATCAAACTTGAACTACTTTTATTCAAGATAAGGCATTCGAATACATGTACTAGAATTCAGGTAAATAAAAAGTATGGCTAATTATGCATAAATAAAAAATTTATTTTAATTTTTTGGTACTAAAAAATATGAATATTAAGAATAAAGAATGATGAGTCTTAAAAGTATATTTCCTGCAAATAGTTCTTGTGAATCTTGTAAATACGAATTATGCGAATATGAATCATACAAGTCTTGAGGATATGAATCTTGAGAATACGAATCTTATGAATATGAATTTTGAGAATAGTCTTGAGAATAGTCTTGAGAATAGACTTGAGAATAGCCTTAGGAATAGTCTTAAAAGTAATCTTCAGAGTAGTCTTAGAAATAGTTTTGAGAATAGTTTTGAGAATAGCCTTGGGAATGGTCTTGAAAATAATCTTTGAAGTAGTCTTGAGAATAGTCTTGGGAATAGTCTTGAGAATAGTCTTAAAAATATATTTTTTGGGGTATAGATTATATAAATATAAACTGAAATTGTAGAAATACAAATCTTGAGAATCAAAAAAACTAGTAATTTTTGTTTGTTTTTTTTTGATTTCTCATATATATGTTTATATTTTTTAAGCAATCTCTTTAAAAATCTTAATTCCACTAGTGCAAGATTTGATTTTGCATTTTTTTGTTCTTCTTAATGAATAATAGTTTGCATCACATTGCATACTTCAGCAGCAGATACAGGTGGATCAGGTACTTCATTCTTATCTTTGTCTTTACCAATTAGCTCTTTATTTTTCTCAGCTTAAACTATTGCAATGATCTCTTTATCATTAAGTACTTCTTCTGTTACAATTGGTTCATCAACTACCTCTATATACGTTGCTATAGCATAAGCTGTCTCAGATACATATTGGTTCTCATCAAGTAGTTAGAAATTATTTTCTCAATTTTATTGTTTTCTAATAAAATATTACTTTCAATATACTGATTTATATTATCTGCTTCTGGCTTATCTATATTTGGGAGAATATTTGTCTTGTACTAACAGTTCTTAATAGTGGTACTACTTACATCATCCTATGAATTTGAGATAAAATTAATTGTCTTTTTTATACTTAGTCTTTTTCTGCAAAAAGAAAGTTAAGTAAATACAATAGAGTTTGGTATTTATTATAATTGATGCAAAAATTTACTCAATTTTTTAATATAAAAATTTAATTTTTTTAGGTTTTTTTTTAAAAGTTTAATTTAATTTAGTCAGTATTGAGTCGATCTATATATCTGATTATTTTTGGCTAATTGGATATACAGATTTTTGTAAAGTAATGTGCAGACATTATTTTATGAAAATACAGAATAAATTTTAGGTTTTCAAAGAAATTCTAAAAGACTGATTTTTGAAAGAACATAATACTAACAAAGTTGTATTAATTATCATACTGATCAACTTGATCGATATTATGTTTTTTCAGAAATCTGTCTTTTAAAATTTTATAATAAATCTTAAATTTTATGTATCATTGCCCAATCATGTAATTTTTATTATATTCAAAAATGACCAATTGCTAACACTGAGTTTAATGTTGATATAGAGAGTTGAATAATAAATAGAGTTGATATTTTTGAACAATAAGCCAAATTTTAGCATCAATTAAGCTATAGCAATAATTATACAAACTCCTTTATATCGACACTGGATTCAAATTGCCTGAGAACAAATTTACAATATCAATGCTTATATTTTAACTTGAATAATTAGATTATACTAGTGTCCATAGACTAGAAATAAGCTATTGTATGAAGCGAAAGTAATGCAAGGTAATATTAGAAAGCTTTAGAGTTTTGAAGATCTTTTTTTTGTGTGAAAAATTAGCATAAGTTCTTGTGCCCTTCCTCTTTT